TTCATTTTCATCATTCTGTGACACAGCGGGTCATTTTCAGCAGGCCTCTTCAGAGCAGAGCATTAGTTAAACAAGCACAATGGCGGAGCTTCATCTGTACGTCCCCCTCGTTATCAGACGCCTGGATGTGAATGTTATTTTAATCCCCGCATTGGTTAAGATTCTCTCTCCCCACCAGCTGTGCCCAGCGACGGCTGCAGTGATATTCAGAGCTTCTTGATGTCACACAGCCAGCAGGGTTTCACTATGGCGCCTCATTTAGACGGTCTACATGGCGTCTGGACCGCTTGGCCTCTTTTTGATTCATTAGCAGGCAGATCAAACTTTTTAAAACCCTGCTTTTGGTCATATCTGATTTTGAGGGACATCATTAACAAAAGGGCATCTATGCAGTCACAGTGCATTGAAATGTTATATTTTTGCAGAATGCCAATTATACCTTCCTTTGAACTCAACCGGGGAGAGGAAAAATATTAGAAATATTGGAGCCAAAATAATGTTCAGTTCTGTTTATGGCTGAATTAATGACTCAATTCTTTAGAAAATGTGGACATGTCATCAAGCCAAACAGGGTTGTGCACCATTCAGAATTGAATTGAGAATGTTTTACATGGAAATATGCAATTAAAATGTGAATTCAGGGAAGAATAACAAAAATGGAATGGATGCTAGATGGATGGATTGATACATAAATATATAGATAGATAGATTTTAACTATTTAAAATGCAATAGAGATGGATGGATTGATTTAAAAATGACAATATGGATGGATGGATGGATGGATCATTTTCACAAAAAGATTCAAAAACTTGGTTATTAGGTTTGAATCTATTTAACAAATTTGCAGAATTTACTACTTTCAGCCATTTCTGACTCGAGAAACCCTGACAACATGTTAAAGATACATGTTCACTACTTCAGATTTGCTGTAAAACATGGCATTTCGTTTTGAAGAGCTAGCATAATAGTAGTGTTTTTGTTTAGTATTGTTGTTTAGTAGGTTATAAAGTTACTCCCAATTATTGCTTCCTTAAAAGGACACCAAAACGATTCCCATCCCACTGTCACGGCCTGTTGTTTTCCGGCTTCAATCCGTGCAACAGCACCTCTCAGGCTATATAACCGCTGTAACTGGCCTGATGAGGAGTGTGTCATGAGCTTCAAATGCCATAATTGGCCACCGAAGTGCCCCAGTCCATTAAAGGATCCATTTAAAGACAACAGGATCATTACAGCTCATCAGGTGCAGAAGATCACCTTCAAGCGTTAGCTCTCGCTGAAGAGCCACCGGGCGATATCATGTAATCCCGTCCCGAGACAGGCTATTAATTAACAAGTGCTCACCGAAGGGACCAGCCTGCACTTCCTCTCATTGTGTCTCCTTACTGGAGATCAATGCGACTCCCTGCCGATACGTCCCGCTGACGCCTTTTGTTTTCCATACCAAGTACGCAGCGTCTGGATCCGCTGCCAAACAAGGGAACGCACACAGGTGACATTGACATGGTCGTCCTTTTGTGCGAAGACTTCAGCGCACTGAGACAGAATCACACGTCTGTTAATATTCTATTTACTACAGCGCTTGTGTTTGTCTCCATTGTATGTCTTTCTTTATTTCTCCTCTGTGTGACCCGCTGAACATCGGTCTCAGCACTCACAGATATGTTTCAGTGTGAGGCAGGAGCTCAATCCTTATATCTGGAAGTAAGAGGTGATTTTAGTGTATCGCTAGCGAATGGTTTCAAGTGACAGGTGAGTAACGGCAAGACTGATGTTTTTTCCCCCCATTGTTTTTTTTATTTATTTTCTTTCTCATATATCAGCAGGTTTGAGAGATCGAAAGAGACCGTAAACGAATGAATATTTTAGTTTTCCAGCAACTCTTGCTGAACAAAAAATCATTTTAGATCTAAACTTCAACTGCACCACAGCATAGTGTCCTGATAAAATGTTCATCACAGTGTGTTTGTTTGTCTCATTTCTGGGTTGGAAGACAGACTGGAACTTTTTTTTCTCATTTCATGCATTTCACTGTGATTTGTGCATTTTAAAACTCACTTAAATTGACAAAACATCGACTCTGTTATTAAACTGAATTGAATCAACATTGAACTGAGTTGAATAATGACACTAATGTCTTCTTGTAGAGCTACTTTACAGTAGAATTTGAATTAGTTCAATATTTGATTAAGTTTGCATCATTGATTGTTATTTTTTCTGTTCATCACTCAGAAGCTGCTTTAAAACCAGTATCTGTATTGCACGCTGTAAACCTGAATAAGTTGGCAAAACTCAAACAATTTTGAGGTAATCAGTTACATCAAAATATTTAAGTTGAGAAATGTAAAGTTTAAGTAAGCAGAACTGTCAGATTTTTATTTTATACTCATACATTTTACTCTTAACTTGAAATATTTGAGTAAATTAGTTCATACTTTTAACTTAAAATTATCAAGTAATCTCAACTTAAATATTTTTTGTATAGGTTTAACTTTGATAGGTTTAACTAGCTGATTTAGTCCATTTTAACTTGCTAATTGGTAATACAATGGTTTGATAGCATTAGCATAGCATAGCAATTGCTAAATGAATATGGCAATATTTAACAGAAAACTGTTCCACTCGACACCATGAGGGTAAAACATTAACCACTAATAAATCTCACACTTAACATTAACTGTCTTGCACAAAAACATTATAAAACACTTGATTTTAGCTTTTACTGTCCCTTTCGAGTATCATGGCAAAGCATGCAGGGAAATCCCAACCCAGTTTTAGTTCAAAGTTTGTCTAAATCAGGGGTCTCCAACCTTTTTTCATTTGAGAGCTACTTTTTAAAAATGAAAGTGGCCGAGAGCTACTCATGTAATACAATACTTAAATCTCCTAAATAATGTCTCATAACTCATATTAACAGCTATCCAAACTGTTTTAGACCTAAAATATTTTTTAGGCCTATATATGTCACCCTTAAATGTCAGAGAAAAGAACAGAATCAGAGATTTTTTTTTTTTTATAGAAAATTGTACTTTGCATATTATACCAGAAACACATAATTATAGTTGATTTTATAGTGCATCATAACTAGAGATGAAATGGCATGAAAATTTCCTTTCATGATTATAGTGACCAAAATGATCACGGTTATCACAGAATTCTGTAAAAAAAAATACTACTAAATAAAATCAATTCACCAAGTTATATGTCGAAAACCAGCAAATAACAAAAAAAATAGCATCAATATGCTCTTTTTGTTTAAATAAACATTAAAATAATAACATTAAAAATGATGGCCAGATTTTAAAGGAGTGTCTTGCAACATGTTATCTACTAACATGTACAAGTTCAAATAAAGTTTTGACAAAAAAGGTTTTATAAAAAGATAAACCTCACATATTTCAGCCTTTAAATCATTTTTATAAAAAGAATGAGTAAAAAAAGATAAATTACGGACATTTACAATGCACATTAGCTTATCTTTTATTATTAATAGTAAAATTCATGTTGACTGAGCTTTCAATGTTGTTACGGAAAGGGTGAAGCTGATTGGTTGGATCTTGTCACATGACCTGCGGTGCGCTCGCGGCATTTGAGGTGTTTTCATCTCGCTGCGCCTGGAAAAAATGAGCGCGTCGCTTCAATTATGAGCGCGCTTGCCCAAGCGCCTACATTTGAAATAACGAACTTGAGCGCGCAAAAGACGCGATATGTGAACGGCCCCTTGGCGAGCTACTTCCAATCAGGCCACGAGCTACTGGTAGCTCGCGAGCGACGTGTTGGAGACCCCTGGTCTAAATGAATCGAAACAAGCTCAAAATAATGAAACGATTCATATTACTTAAAATCTGCCAGTTTTGTGAACTCAAAATAAAAAGAAAGTTAATTTGATTGAACTACTTTGTTTAATTTAAGTTTACCCTACTCAAATTAATTAATTATTTTGAGCATTAGGGTTTGCAGTGATAAAGCGTATCAGAATACCGGCAGACAAAAAAAAACGTATATGTGACGTCACCGAGGTCTCCCCTCACTAACTCAGTCACGTTAACAGTTGTTGTTTTATCTCGATGCAAACAGCTCATGATTTCTGACAGCAGAACCCCCGTCTGCATAACTTATTGACAGTGGTAAAGGGCGCCGCGTCGACGGCTGAGGCGTGACATGGTTTTGGACGGAGCGGGATGAGTGGGGAAAGACTGTGATAAATGAGAGCATCGTCACAGCGTCCCATGAATTATGAGAGGGGCATGAGGCGGCGCTGACACAGTACGGCAGATTGACAGAGGAAAAGGAAATACCGCTGTGATGCAACGGCACGTTTAGATGACCCAGAACGCCCCTATCCAGAGAAAAAGTGTGCGCCGATTAATCAGACGAGCGTACGGGAGATAGAGGAGGTTTGGAGAGAGAAGCACGCAGCTCTTGAGGTTGATTTAGCGGGCCACGGGTCAGAGATCCAATCCCCTCCGGAAGATGAAGTAATTACCAGATGGCCACTTTGATTTGTTCCACTTTTTTACAACCACGTTATTCTTGATTGCATAATTCATTTGGAGGAAGAGGAAATGTCTGGAAAAATGTTTCTCTACGCTTGACCTTAATTTTGCCACTTAATTACACTCCGATATCAAGCGTCAATGGAAGTCTGATCTAATTCCGCCTTCCATTCAAATGTCAGATGTGGTATTTTCTACTTGTTATCTCAGACTTATGATGTAAAAAGGAACAAAAAGAGTAGCATTTGATTTGCAGGTTTAAAATGAACAAGAGGAGATTGTGTTCACCGTTAACTGTGTTCATCTCCCTTGGTGCTTCTTCACTGGACTCAAGTCCAACAAGCCTTACAAGCGTTCAGTCTCACCTGTATAACTATAAAGTTATGGCACGTTACGTCCTTAGGGACGTTTAGAGTGTTTTTTGTGTGTGTTTCTTTTTTAGGTTCCTTCTGTCTCTCTCGTACTTTCACTTTACTTTCTATCTATTTGAGATAATTACTTACATATAGTGACTATTCTTCTCCTCTCTGCCGCTCCGTTCCCCGATCCCCAGCATCCGTCCTCGTCATCACAGTCTCCACTGTATCCGTCTCCACTTCCTGTCTCGATTTGGTCCAGGGTGCCCAGCTTTGGGATTGACTTGCCCTGCAACAGCTGGAACACATACAAGATATGTTTAAACTTAAAAATTTAGTATTTCAGTATTTATTTTGATTGATTTTAATCCAATTTCAATGTCAATACCATTGGGCTGTTAATACCAAAAACAACCAACCAGATTTAATTAAATAGACCAAAAAAAATGTTTTGCTACTTGCCTTATTGCTAGGCAACAAAGCCAAAATAAATAGGAATGCATTATATAACCCCCTGATTGATTATTAATCAATACTGGACATTTAACTGTGCATGTTCATTTTCCCTATTTTCACATTTTGATCACCGTTACTGTAACTTTAAAATAATCTATAAAAACGTTTTTTTTTTCATCATATTTGAATAACATTGTTCCATGTAAACTTTAGCAAATCTCAAAATGAATATGCATTTTTATACTGTACATTATAATGCTGTGTTGCCCACCCAATTTTTTTTTTTTTACATTTATTTGGACAAAATGGTATAGAATTGTAATACTGGCCATGCACTTATGCAGTTATTGGCCATAACAAAAGTATTCTGCATCCCTAAAAATAAATGAATTCAAATCCTGCAAAACATAAACATGTGCACTATCAATTGATAAAAATCTCCTTCGAAAGCAGGATCTACTGTTGAAAGCAATAACACCATAATATGACAATGGAACCTCAAGAAAGATGAGACACAAATGAAAACAATGTTGAGATGGACAGACATACCGCACTGTATAGTGTGAGTTTATAAAACAGTAAATATGTCCAAAACGTCGTTCCCTCGCGGCCAAATAGGGTGATTAAAGTCCAGACACTTTGTGTGTTCAACCTTCAATTATCAAGTTGGGTTTTCTAACAGGTAGGCATTTCCAGATTGCATAACGCTTTTAATGGAAACAATGTATTCTCTATTTGCTAATTGAGCAATCTGTTGTCTCCTACAATGTGAGCAACCAATTGTGGTTATATTCATCATTCAAACAACCTCTCTGCAAAAACAATAATGACAGCAACGTGACTCCATCTCTTGAGATCTGTGCCTGGACATGATGACCTTCAGTTACCCTCAAAACTAACTTTTGCACAAGGTAGGATGGGTTAGCAGCAATTACAAACTCTGAGTGCACTTGAGCCATATCTGTTCAGGCTACAGGAACATTTAATTATCTAATTGAAATGCAAGACAACCTCTCAGATATTGAAAGTGCTTTGTATTTATCAGGTAGAGAGCATTGGGCTGTTACAATTGTCTGTGGTAATTAGCAGCTGTAGTGGCTCAATATCTGCCGATTAAGTAGCTGAACTAATGGATTAGCAGAGCCATGATGGATGAGTGACTGCGACTCACACGCTTAGAGGTCGCCTCCAATCCACACGGACAACTAAAGTTCAAAATCAAACTTTTGGAGAATGGTTGACTACGATTCAGAATGGCATACTAACATACACTTGCTATTATTGTAGTATGCAGGATTGTTCTGTATGGATAAATGGCCCTTTTGCCAACATCAGCACAGCACCCTATCTTTTGGATAACTTTATAATTCCAGTGTGACAAATGATACAAGTAGTGATATATTTAAAAATTTCTGCACTTTTTATTTTATTTGACTGCCAACATTTACTTCTTCATTCAGAATGGATAATAACATAATTTTCTCTTGGCACATTATATAGTCTAACTGCCAAATATCTTTTTATTAAAAATGCAAGATCTGGATGCCACTCGTTGAGTTAAACATGCACATATTGAGATCATGTAACAAAAATGTGTTACACTTTATTTTAAGGTGTCATTGTTACAGTGTAATTATACATTTCAGTACTGAATAATATTAATTAACTATGTACTTATACTAGGGTTAGGATTAGGGTTTGGTTTGGATTGTTTTAGGGTTAGTTCCATGTTATTAAGCACAATGTATAGTTATTACTATAGTAACTGCATATGTAACAAGGACACTGTCAAATAAAGTTACCCATAAATGTAGCATACAACTGTTTGAAACATTTATAGTTGCATTCATTCATACTATAAAAAACGTAGTATGATTTTATATATGATAGTATTGAATATAGTCAAACAGGAGAGCAATGTTTGTTTCAACATGTTTTTTGTTGCCTTTTTTATTGTGCAAACATATTAATTCAGTTTATTATATATATACATTTCATTTCATTTCTTTATTTATTTCCATTACACTTTAATAAAGTAGTTTCTTCACAACGACCTCAGCCTTTCCCATTGTATTGCATATGTCCTTTGCTATAAAAAGTGCTTTGAATGTTTCTCCCGAGGCACACAGGCAGAAAAAGAAATAACGCAAAAACATCTGCATGCAAATGCATAAATTACTTTCAGTCAGGCCTGTAGCAAATATATGTTACCCTTCTGTAATTTTCTTTCCGACCATAACCAGAAAGCCTGGAGCACCGAAGGCCTTTATCTCGCTGAGGTAAAAATGTTCAATCTCTTATCTATAGAATGACCACGTTCTCCTCTAACGGTGAGGCGCATTGTTCCTCGAGGAATCCTCAATGTTCCTCCACGGTTTGATTGACTGCCTGAGGTTAGTCGACTACAAGCGGTGGTTGAAACTTTTACAATCCAGCTCCCGGGCAGTTGCGGAAACGTAAAAAAAACAAACAAGGAAAATGACCAGGCATAGTAGAATAATTATCTTAATCTGAATGCATCTATTTAGCTGCCAGGCAAACCACTCAAATTTATCTTTGCTTCAAACCAGGGGAATAGAAATAATCTAAAATGTGAGCATAATGTAACACTTATCAGCTTGGCTCATGTATATTAATGATGTAATCTGAGGTGTGCCCAGCTGATCTGCTGGAGGACCCAACACATTCTCATCCTTTGGCGTCATATAGGTGATGCCATATGACATTTCGTCACATGGCATCCTTTAGCGTCAATATAACACGCACTGTTATGGGTAAGTGTAGGTCTGGGGTCGGGTTATGGTTATGACGCCTTGGGATCTGCGTCTCATATTGAAGCTAAACGATGCCATGTGCGTAAGATTTCGACGAAATGTCCAAAGCGTCACATGTATGACGCCTCGGGATGAGAACAGGCTGGAGGACCATAATAAAAAGCTGCTAGCAATAGAAGGATTTGCACTTCCAGCTTGCAAGATTCCTTGTAGGTCTCTAAATTGTCACACAAAAAAAAATCTCATTCATTACGGTTCACTGCAGAGCGCAACTCTGTCTAATGCAGTAGGTATGAAAAGCATGCTGGTCACTTTGAGTTTATTTAAACACAGTTATCATCTACAATCATCTACATAAATATCAGGAATGAGACTGATTCTTATGTTTATTAGTAACCAAAACACTGCTGTCACTGACGTTCATGCTAATAAGAAGCTCTCCCATTCCATTCGTCTTTGAGATGACTTTATACGTTTCTGAAGAACTTGCTAAAAAAAAGAAGAAAAAAAAAAGATTAAGAACGATTTCAAGCACTGAAAGTGAAATTTATATCTCTGGAGAAGCATTGCTTAAAGAATGTCATCTTCTGTGAAGATTATGTGAATCCCAACTACATTTCTAAGAAGTCTGGTTATCTTCCAAGAAATACCTTTGCTTTTGGCATTGCAACCTTTATGCTTCTGAAATATCAATGGCATCATTAAGAAGAGGAAAAGATGAAAGTTTAGCCATGAGCCTTTTAGCATCACATACTGTACATGACAAAACAAGACATTGAGGGTTTTTGATACACAAAATATTAAGACAAAACACATTTTAAACTAACAAAGTCTATGACCGTTAATATGTTATTGCATTGTGGCATTATTTTTAAGACAATTACTCATTTCTTTCAATTCTGAATTATATGTTATTTCTTAAATTTTATTGCTACACTCTTCCTTAATTATATTACCGAGAAAAAAAAAGCTGATTAAATACTTGCATATGTTCAGGGAACCATAAAACATTTATTGGCCAAACCAGCAGAAAATGAATGGGAGAGAAATTAAAGGAATAGTCTGAATAAGCTGCTTCATGCAATGAATGGGAATGTGAGCTGCTGCAAATATTACATAAAAGAACCATAGAGCAGGCGAACACCCAGAAGTACACATCCGGTGTGCTATAAAAATACAGTATATGTTATATAGTATATGCTAATATATGCTATATTAGAGGGTTACATATAGTTACATCAGGTAGTGACAATTGAGAGAATCTTTATGAGTGAATCATTGAATCATTAAATGAACGATTCATTCAAAACACAGATTCATTCGGGTTTGAAAAATGATGCTGCGCCCCAATTCGCCTACTTATACTATGCCCTAAAAGTATGTTCTGTTTTTGTGAAGAAAAAGTCCATACCTTTGAGTGTGTAACAGAAGAGTAGCAAGATTTAGGACAAGCTAATTGCGTCTTTAACGGAAGCTCTGTCACTTAGTTATGTGCATCCTATCACTGTTTAAACTGCCCTGTCAATCATCCTGTCACAGTTAAAATCCTCCACATTCAATTTAGTTTAATCTCCTACCATATCAGAGAGAAATGAAGAAGCACGTTGATATCACAATTGTGGGTTCTTCCATGCGGAGACTCTCCTCATGTGTTTGCAATTTGCATAATGATGCATTTAAAAGTAAATTACCAAACATATTTTTTATAAAAGTTCACAATGCTGTTGCAGATAAAACATAATGTGGATAACATTAAGTAAATTACTGGTTATTAATCACTCAAACCCCCTTTATCTAAACCACTCTTCTTAATCATCGGTCACGCACATCCGCCATGTTCGTAATGTAACTTTTTTTATTTGGGTTTGTAGTTCTAATTGAATCCTCGTCCAATGTGCAAAGGCGGGTCGTGGGCAATATTATCCGTTAGTGTGCCCGGATCTGCACTTCGGATTCTAACTGAAAAAAGTAGACCATCCGGGTATTTTTGAAACACTAATTTCAACATACTATGATTTGAGACACACTAATTCTAATTTCGAATACTACTTAGGGCGGATAGTATGCA